TTCAGTCACATTTATCAAATGGTGAATGAGCCTAATCCTTCAGCTGCACATATCGATGAACTATTCAAACAGGTTTGATAAGTACTCTACTCTTATGGTCCTGGATTACTGTAGGCCTTCTGTGCTCCCCCATTGGTCAACCTTTAATAAGTGCTAGCGCAACAAGAAATTGGATTTTAATATTGCCATTATATTTTGTACCAACAAAATGTCAAATATGTGTACTGTAATCATCCCAAAAGCCTTCAATACATTTCTGCTAATTTGAACTATAGGCGTCTGCCTGGGTTAAGCTATTTGTGTCTCTTGGTGGTAAAGTGGAAGGATGTGGGAAGAAACAAGTCACACCATACATGCATTGCTTGGTTTATCATGTGCCAAACTTTATGAAGAAACATGGTGGTGTAAAGAAATTCACAGGACAAGGTAATATTTTCCATATTTGCTTAAATAGTTTATTAGTAACTAATCTTGAACAAGTACTGTATATAATCAGCATACCTTTTCACTGAATTTATAGGGGTCGAGAAGAAGAATGATGATGTACGGAAATACCATTTGACCAAATCAAACAAGTGGGATGCACCTAAAGATGTCCTACTTGTGGGCAAACGGTTACAGGTCACAAGTGAACAAGAACGAACAACAAGAACCTACCACAAAAGGAATGTTGATTATTGGTCTCATGATATTAAGGAAGCACGAAGCAAACGGCGCCGGAAATTGTTAGATTCTCCCTGTCCTACATCGCAAGAAAGCAATTCAGACGACACTTTAGATGTTGAAAGTCTCTCAATTGCAGAAGTCAAGGAAAGGTTGAAGGAATTGGGAGTGCAAACCCGTTTTAGGAAACTTGAGAAGTTGAAACACATTTTACGAAAAACACTCCAAGACCAACAAATTAGTTAAATTAATATTTAACCCATTAAGCTGCAGAGCTCCCCAATTGACAAGTAAAATCGTCTGGCGTTAGACAAGTAAAAAAATAAGTAGGGCGCACTGGGGCGCATTGCAGCCCAATGGGTTAACTAGAGACATTGTCAGATATTTTGGTTAACCCATTAAGCGGCAGAGCTTCCCCATTGACGAGTAAAATCGTCTGGCGTTAGACAAGTAAAAAAATAAGTAGGGCGTCCTGGGGCGCATTGCAGCTCAATGGGTTAATATATAGCACAGGTCACTGTAAGATGATGGAATGGTTTCTGGTTTTCACTTCCTGCTAACCCCAAAGCAGGTAACTGTATCCCATCTAATATTTTGCACAACAATCATTATTCTCTTTGAATCGACGAACATGACCAGTAATATATCTTACTATGACCTCTGTATACTGCAGCAATACTGTATGAGCAAAATTTATAAAGTGTGAGTTACTGTTGTGCATGTGAAAGTCTGTAATAGATAATAATTAAAGACCTATTCAAAAATTGTAAATAAAAGTAAATATAAAAATATAATATTCAATTGTAAACATTCATTATATTACAAATACATATTAAAATCAAAGTTGCTATAATTCTTATCATCTACAGTATGCTAATTGTGAGTTAATTAAGAATATTTTCCTGGTTGCAAGGTGTTCTAGCAAATGATATGCTTATTTTTTCAATTGGAAATCTGGGTGTTTCCACAAGCTTTCCGCCCCTAACGGCATGCTTCTTAGGCGACCAAAGAAGTACGGCCTTAGCCTTTAAGGGAAAATCTATTTGTTTGCCTTCACCTTGCTCTGACAAATAGTACCACCAATCAGATGGAAGCATGTGGAAGCGGCTAAAGTCTTTTTCTTGGTAAAGAAAATGGCCCCTGTGCTCACATGGTATTCCTTTGCCTTGGACAACATATCGCCAGATGTCTAGGTCTATTTCAATGAGGCCATTTCCAAGCGCTTTAGACTTTAGCATGCTAGAAATACCACTAGCAAACATTCTGGTCGCGTGTTCCAATCGGGTGATGGTGGGTTTGGGTGGTCTTTCATAACCCCTAGTAGATATAGAATATTTAAGTAGCAGTTCTTGTCATTATAACTTATAAACATTCTGAATGATGTTTAAGCTAAACAGTATTGCACAACTTGCCTTAATAAATCATTAGATAGGTGTTCAGATGGTTCCCATGTACTGTATTGCAAGGACCATCCTGCCCATTTGATGAGATATAAAAAGTCCTAAATAGTAATAATATAAAGCATATTAAATATAACATAAACAACTATCTGTCGAGGGCTATTACAAAACATTGCCCATAGTTTATTTATTTATTATTATACCTTCATTAACATTGATACACAATCACTGAATATGAAGCTTTGGAAATATAAACTAGACATACAACAACATAAAATATGATTCAAAAACTCATTAATAATTCATGAAGCAATTATCCAATCTTGAGTAAGAAATTAGTCACGTGCATACGTCTTTATACCAGCTAAAGAACACTTTAACAAAAGACCATTGTTATGCAAACTATATAAAGATTTTTATATAGTTTTATATAAAGATTTTTATATAAAGGTTTTTATATAAAGATTTTTATATAAAGATTTGACTTATTATGCATACGTTTTTGAAGTCATTTAAAAAACTCGCGGGTCGTGTTTTATTAGGTCTAAAGCCACTCGCGCTGCGCGCGCGTGGCTTTAAACCTAATAAAACACTCCTGCTCGTTTTTTAAATAGTACATAAATGCTCCAAACAGACTTTTTATATCAAAGAAATCAACGCGTTCAGCTTACATTTTTCTCTTTCTTTCGGCTTATAATCCTTTCTACTTCATATATCTTCCCTCGTTTTCTTGGTGGAGCGTTGTTATACAATACAACTGAGCTAAAATTGTTTAACTCGACATAGTTGGTTAATCGCGTGCGTGGACGTTTAGCCGCCATTTTGAATAATTTTCGTAAATTTCGCGGTTTCCCGCTATACCAACTTTGGCTCAATGTCTCGAATTTCTGGCCATGGCGGTTTTGAATTCTAGAAATGAAATCGATATTCTGCTGCATACGACTCTCATCACCAAGTAAGCCATAAAAGATCCGTAGCAAAAACTTTGCTTCAAAGAGCTGAATCCTTGCCGTCAAACAGTGATTCTCAAGCTAATGAACGTGAATATGTCCTAAATGTTTTAGGGGAAAACGGTTACCCAAAACGTTTTCTTAATGATTGTCTGAGATCACCTGTTTGTAGGAACGAAAATAACTTCGAGGGTGATACCTCTGTTAAGGGTTATGCAATAGTTCCATACATTCAAGGTGTCACAGAACCAATCAAGATAATCTTAAGTAATTGTAATAGTAAGGTTGCCTTAAAACCCTATTTGACTTTAGGCCATATTTTCGCAAAGCCAAAAGATCCTGTTAAAACAAATCAGAAAACTCATGCTGTATATTCTATACCATGCGGTGACTGCGAGAAAGAGCATTTTAGTCAGTCTAAACGCCAGTTTGGTGCACGGCTAAAAGAAAATCAAAAGGCTGTTTCAACTTCAGACAAGGGAAAATCAGCTTTAGCCGAACATGTATGTTAAACGAAACACGAGCTTGGGTGGGAAAACTCTAAAGTAATTACAACAATTACAATCGCTATGGTCAAAGACTTTGCCTAGAAGCGTGGCATATAAATATGAGTCATCATGCTTTGAACAGGGATGACTGTGCCTATTTGCCAGAGGAATATAGCATCTCGTTGGCACGTGACGTCATACCTTGGGTATTTAATTTAAGAAGCTACGATTGCAATTTTAGACCACCCCTGATGAAGTAGGCCGTAGGATGAGCATTCGAAAGATGCTTAGAAAACAGATTCCGTTGCACCCCTCGTGTAGCTACATAATTTTCACATGAATCAATAGATAAAAACTTACTTTATCAGAATCCGTTGCTCTCCAAGCGAAACAGGTGCACAATTGCGAAAACAATCCCTCAAAAGTTCGCTATTTTCCCGTTTCGAAATGTTCGAACCGCCATTGTTTTGGTAACAAATACGCATGCGCAAATCAGCCCAACAAAATAAAATCATGGAATAAAGATCAAATCTTGTAATATTAACGAATAAATACACACACATTAAATATTGTTTAAAATACATTGTACATTTTGCTTGTTCATATGCTAAATCATTTCAATTTATTGGCTATTGTTTCAAAATACCGTTTTAACGTTTAATTCTACTTATTAACATCTTAATTCAATAGAAGTTTGTGTATCAAACAGGATGGACAATATTTAAATATAGATACAATTCGCACGATCAAGGAACAAATTAACTATTTCGCTAAACTAAAGCCTTGGCCAAACGTAAGAAACGTTGAAACGTTAAAGAAAGTTGCGGAAGTATTCGCGATTTTCAAAGTTTTCAATTTTCCGTCCAAAAATCAGCCTTTCGCATGCTTAATTAATGCCTTTACCTAATTTGCATATTGCTGACATATACAAATTAGGCAAAGACATTAATTAAGCATGCAAATAGCTGATTTTTTAGAAAACAATGTAAGTTTGCGTGAATAGTTAAAGGGCTTAAACTAAAGCAAATCGTCTGACATTTTGTTCAGTAATTAAAAACACAACAAATTTTCCATCTATTAACTCAAAATATGATTAAAGCTTTTAAATTTCGTGCGCAAGCCATTGTTAGTTTGTTGGGAAAGACGCGCCCCCATGGTTCAAAAATTTGAGTTCGAGAATTTTTTTTTATTATTCTACATTATAAGTACCCAAAGAAGCTATATACGTCAAAAACTGGATACTAATAGCTGTTTTGCGAAATTGAGAGCAAATTCATATCTGTTCAGTTTTTTTATACACTCTGTATACTGTACTGTACTCATATAGTCTAGGACCTGCATATGAGTTTGTATGCGTTTCATTTACCACAGGTAATCTCAACTGTTTTAGGGTAAAATTACCTTGGCGGTCAACATGGCATGTGTGCCAAAACCTGAATCCGGGACGAAAGTCCTGAAAATGACCCCGCCCTGAAACGGCAGTGCCGACATAGCTCTAACTTCCGAAAAGCAAAAGCGACAGCCTTTCTGAAGTGCTTATAGTGTTTAGAAGGATTGCTTTTAGGGGTGGTTATTGGAAGGAAAAGTTTGTCTAAGTATATTATTTTACAAGAAAATGACCATTCGTCACTGATTATGCAGAAAGTAACTCATATACATGGCAGAAATTTAACATTCTTATTTCCTAAAAAAAATACCATGGGATGAAAAACTATGCTTAATTTAATATAATTATTGCAGTTTTCGTAAGGATAGTCACTGTTTTCTATAAATATAATATATTTTATTTCACTTACCCCCCACGAAAACACGATTTCAGCCATATTTTTCCGTCTTGTTTGCTTTATATCGCCGTGTCTCGCAAATAACATCCAGTTGTACTTTTACATAATGGCAAATGGCTAAAGAAGATTTCAACCAAGTTCCGGCAAGTTTTGGGGCAGTACAGTGTATTTTATCTTCGATATTGTGTCCTTCGATATTTCGTGCAATATGCCGCCATTTTAATGGCTCGCCGATTCTCTGCCCGATAAATGCCACTTCTTCGTCTTTATATGTATTTAGATTACAGTATCCAAAGGTACTTCATTGCAGAATAGTCCTAAACGAAATATTGAAAACATTACTTGCACTTGGAAGGAAAAAACCTCCCACAACAAATTCAGGATAGGAATAAAAACAAATCATTTGAAAGTCACGCGCAATCTTCGCGAAAATTCCTCATGGCTACTTGACAGGGGGGCGAATATTTTCACGAAACGTTGTTCGCCACAGCGACCTAACTGGATGTCTCGATATATTATATTTATTGCATTTTTATGATTGATAATAAAAAGACGTAATTAATTTTTATTTTTAAATCGTAAAATACAATAAATACAATATATTTTGTTGAAACTTGAATTGCTGTGAACAACGTTTCGTGAAAATATTCGCCCCCCGCCCGCCTGTCGAGGAATTTTCGCGAAGATTGCGCGTGACTTTCAAATGATTTGTTTTGTTCCTATCGTGAGTTTGTTGTGGGAGGTTTTTCCTTCCAAGTGCAAGTAATGTTTTCAATTTTTCCTTTAGGACTATTCTACAATGTAGTACTCTTGGATACTGTAATCTAAATACATATGCCATTTACAACATGTAGCACATTTTTCCCATGAATAGCTCAGGTTTTAGTAAAACAAAGTATGATTTAACTTTCATAAAATATATTTTCTAACTAAAGGCAACGGCCAGTTTTTACGAAATTTCAAGAGGAATATGTGTCATTTTCATCAAAATATGTATTTTAAGACACTTATTATTCCAGATGAGGAAGGACAAACAAATTATTGAACATACCTATGGAAACAACAACAACTCAGCTTCTATCAAGAGTAAACTATGAACACTTCCTTGTTTCCATACTGCTGTACCCTGCTTCTGAAACTCTGACAATGAGTGAAACATTTCCACTTGTCGCCCATATGTATTCTTCAAACGTTTTCATGTGATTAAGTCGTTATATCGTTGCGTACAAGCACCACAACTTAATCTTTCAAGAAACACTTTACTTTTCATGAACAAACCAGTAAAACAGGACAAAAAATCCTCTCACAATGCATATTTCAGCGTTCGAAGAGTCAAAATATTTGTTAAAGAAATGCGCCCGCAGTATTTAGACAGCGACAACAAAATGCCCAGCTGTACACTGATAAGTAATTAAAAGATAATACCGGCGGATATAATGAGCAACGCGTGCATGTCAATTTCCGTCGGCACACAGTCGGCGCAATCAGACTTTTCCCTTATGTATAAAGCTAGCATAATTGCTGGCATATTTATAACTTAGTCTTTATCCAAAAAACAGCCATATTTGAAATATAGTGACCAATTTTGGATGTTTTTAACGAGAAAAATTTAAGTAAATACATTAACAAATTATAGTTTAATTATAATTAGTCAAATTAGCGAAAATTGACTATATTCATGGCACGCTTGTCAGGCGAAAACCAACTGCCCAAAGATTTTATTTTTCGAGCACCAAGTCAGTGGGCGGTTTTTAGAGACACAAGCTCTTAAAGCTAGTATTCCAATTATATATATATATATATATATATATATATATATATATATATATATATATATATATATATATATATATATGTTCTGCTAATTGGAATACTAGCTTTAAGAGCGTGTGTCTCTAAAAACCGCCCACTGACTTGGGGCTCGAAAAATAAATTCCTTCGAAACTTTTACCGTGAACTACATTTACTTTAACAACAAACAAATGCTGTTTGGAATTTTGAAAATATATTTAGTTTCAAAGTTTTAGCGATTTTTTGGTCTCGCACCATCGCAGGACAATTTCGCTGACTAATTAATTAAACGAAAAAATGGGCTGCATTTAAATAAACATTATTTCAAAAGTTTTTGTTCAAAATTTCTGATATTCACGACCAGCACCGGAAAACTATCGTAATTTCATCTAAACTAACTTAGGTTCAACCTCGCAAGCCAGGGTCTTTTACTTCCGCACGGCGCTACAGCAAAGACCCTGGTTCCCTCTGGTCACGTGAGCTCCTAAAAATTAGGGCAACAAGAGATCCCAGGGGAGGGTGGTTGAAATGTGATATGTTGTAATTTACAACTTCCGGTTAAATGTTGTGTCAGCAAGGCCCGCCGAGGAGTGACTGTAAAGCTATGAGAAGTGACTTCAACTGTAGTATGCAAAAACATTCAAAATGTATTATTTTTCTTATTTGTCTGCAGTTTTCTATTATAAATATTTTGTATGCAAACACTATTTTGAAGCCCAAGCAGGTTATTTGCTTGGAAAAGCTGTCCTTTGGCGTGTATATACTGGCAATTTTTCCAACCGGTAATATGGCGAGTCGCTGATTTACCAGCTTTTGCCTTTGATGCTTTTCGCTAAAAGAGTGTTAGAAGAACGTCCAACTCATGGCGCCGTTTGTGTAAATGAGTAATGCTGCTCGTTACAGTATATCGCGAACGCGCCTTTGATAAACAATCCAGCTCGAAAATTATGTGCGATAAAACTCAAAGTATCAGCAATAAATGTTTTTCAGCAGCCATTAAAATGTGACAACGAAAAGATTGATTGTGATGTAGCTGAACTTGACCAAAAGACAAAACTAATTCTACATGTTACTTTTCAATCCATTATATTGTTACCGTATCTCAATTTTGTTCACTTTATGCCAAACGTAGTACTATATTGCGTGTTTCAAATAATAACGTACCAGTCGTTATTGCGTGACTGCTACAGTAAAACCCTGCATATAAGAACCTAGAATTTAAGAACCTGTTAGGCTAAAATATTTTACTTAGACCCCCTTTAAATAAGAACCTGCATGGTCAGGCCCGAAATTTAAAACAGATTCTTATATTATCAAATAGAGTCAAAATTAAGTCATAAGTTACAATCAGTGTGGCTCAGTAGCTTAAATTAAAATGCATATTTACATAAGAACCCGGCTGTGTAAGCTAACTTGGAAAATCTAGGTTCTTATATGCGGGGTTTTACTGTACAGCATATAAACTTCACCGAAGGCACAAAAAAGAATCACTTGCTTGCACAATTGCTTTGAGTTGGTTGCAAATTCTGAGCGAAAGAATATCTTTTACGAAAAGGTATTCAGATACAAGCACTGGTATTGATGCCTTGGTCTTGGAGGACATTTGCAGACCAATTTATGCTGTAGTGTATGCAAAACACAATATTTATGTGTTGAGTGTAGTTTAGATATGAAAGGGAATGCTATTACCTGATTAGACAAATATTTTTGGGCCTGTGAAATATTCTTGGCTTTGTACCAAATGAATACACAATTAATCACAAATGTGAATTTTGTTAAACTCAGGTTTTTTTTAAAGTTGGCACAAGTTGCACTTTCTCATATATATGTCATTATTTGCATATATAAACTGAATTTACTTCATGGACAGTACAAAAATCCATACAGCAGTGCCAGAACAATTCTAAATTGAGTATATATGTCATATTTATTCAGTATACTGTAACCATACAGCTATTTCAACTAAAGTTGTCACAGACAATAGTCAGATGTACAATAATATGAGTGCTAAATGAATAATGGTAATAATGATAGTTTTCAATAAGTTTTAAAAACCTCAAATATATTATGAATACCAATTTAATTTGTATTCCCGTGATCGAGGCTATTGATGTGTTAAAATAGGATTTTTTTGGCGTTCAATATATTGCACATTTAACTATTGTCTGTGACACTAACCTTAATTGGAATAGCTGCATTATAAAATATAGGACAAGTGCAAATTGTGCATCTATTAATCCTTTCAAGCTAGGGTAGTCTTGGTAGCCTGTGCTATAGTCATACAAATCATTGTTGCTTATTCGTGCAAGTTTGCAGTATTCACAGTCATAATTCCTCTTTATCTTCTGATGTGTCTACTAGTACGCGCTTGGTGAATGTTCCTCTTGTGTTTGTTTAGCTAGTCATCAAATGCAACGACAATTTGTCTATACATGAAAGTGATCATATACCGTATTGTTGATTGCAAATGGTTTCAATTCCAAGAGATCACATAAAATAACATTTTCTCCGAAGATTTGTGCTTGTGAGAGGATGCCTTCTTGACTTAATTCCTACAGCTATGTCGAAGTTGTTTATCATTTCTGCAGATCGATATCCCTTCAGTCGCTCTACTTTAATATTAAACATTCGATTGGCTTCACTGTCTTGGATGTTTTATTGGCCCCCATTCTTTTAATTTAATGTTAATTTAGGAAGATTAGAAAATCCGTCATCGGTCATCACACGCAAGAGTTCCACAATTCACAAATTCTGCGATACGAAGCAGGTTTTTATTTCGCTATTCAACTAGCTCTAAGAATAGGTTGTTGCAATACTACTTGTCGATAATACTACCAAAGGCGACACTTGCATTCCAAAAACAAAGCGGATTTCGGGTAAATAATCTTTGGAGTTTCCTTTCGCTGTGTCATAGCTTGAGAGCTACTGAATACTGTACTTTGACTTTGTATAAGTGTGCATTCGACCTTTATTTTCTTTGCGTTGATAAATAATGGCTCCACTTCAAGGTGTAAAACAGACCTCCAGCCATGCCAATTATATCAAGTAGGTGTAAAAAGCTTTCAAGCGCCAGGCGGTGACATATTTCATAAAAGATAACACAAAGACCGACAAAACCCAAAATATGGGTTAATACAGAGCGTAAATGGCCGTACTTTCCATAGGCATAGTTATAAATGTTTTCGTTTTCGCTCTTGAATTCCCCCTTCCACTCCTCCCTAAGTGGCAAAGAGGCGGCAATTCGAATTACCCCTAAAATCTGGGGGTTCACGTGACCAGAGGGAACCAGGGTCTTCGCCGGAGCCCGAGCGCAGGTAAAAGACCCTGGCTTGCGAGGTTGACAAAAGATTTGCTGACTGAGAACCTGAAT